CCCCCCTTCTCCTCCCTTCTTCTCCCCCCCCTTCTCCTGCCCACCTTCTCTCCCCCCCCGTTCTCCTCCTCCTTCCTCTTCTTCTTCTTCTTCTTCTTCTTCTTCTTCTTCTTCTTCTTCTTCTTCTTCTTCTTCGTCGTCGTCGTTGTCGTCGTCGTCTTCGTCTTCGTCGTCCATTCTCCATTCTTCTTCTTCTTCTTCTTCTCCTTCCCCTTCTCCTCCCCCTTCTCTCCTCCTCCTTCCTCTTCTTCTTCTTCCTCTTCTTCTTCTTCTTCTTCTTCTTCTTCCTCCTCCTCTTCTTCCTCCTCCTCCTCCTCCTCTTCCTCCTCCTCCTCAGTGTTCAAGCACAGAATGAATCTTACAGGTCACATTCTGAATGTTGTTGTTTTCCTCTTTTCTCTCTCTCGTCTTTCTTGTAGTCCCCTGTCAACGAGGCAGGGCGGAATCTGTGATCTGCTCAAGCTGTGGTTCCTCAGAGGATTGTAATGCTGATCAAACTGGCGCTTAGAGGAATGTATCCAGCCATTTTCACGGCCGAATCCGCGTTTCCGTTTTTTTTTTCCTTCTTTTGTCTTTCTGGAATCTGACATCCTGGCCATGCGGCCATTCACACTACCACTTCCAAGAATGTATGCAACTGCAATCACGGCGAAAGGAATGTATCCTTTCTTTTGTTTTCTTGTTTTGTGAGTTTCACGGCCGCAACTTTTCTTCTTTTTGTCTTTTTTTTGTTCTTCAGAAAGAAAATTGGGTGGGACCCAGGCTCAGGCTCTCGGCAAACTCGGCGCGCAGTTAAATTCAGGCCCAGCAAAAACATGCTCGGAGGTACTCGTGGTTTAACGAAAGCTATATTCTTCACTCATATGCCTCACACTGCCACTCCTGTTATGTAAGGCCACTTTTTTACCAAATGGTTGCAGTTATGGGTTTAACTCTCCCTAATGAATCCTAACTGAAGCTGTATTCTTCACTCATGTGCCTGACACTGCCAATCCTGTTATGCAAGTCCACTTTTTTTCCAAATGGTTGCAGTTATGGGTTTACGTTGTCCGTTTAACTCTCCGTAATGAATCCCAGCCTTCTTATTCTGCTCAAGTCTGCTCTATGCGGGGAGCAGTACCCCGGCTCCTAACACCTGGCACGAGATGGAAAGCATCCTCTCTGCTTCCATAACAGGCCAGGAGGCCCAAGCCAATTGTCTCCGCTGGTGAACCCCTTCTGGGTAAAGATACTGTTCAGGCCGGTTTTGCTTCCACTCGGCTCAACGACTGAGCTAGCCTGCGCTTGGGATACCCCTTGTATTTGTTCTTGCACCTCCCTTTTGTACGACTATGGGAATCGAACCCACGAATACCACTTAGGTGCTCAACAAGTGAGCTAGCCCGCTTGGGATACTCCTTGTATTTGTTCTTGCACCTCCCGTTTGTACTGTGCCTCCGACGCACAAGGCTTGCCACGTTGATCACGGTACTGTGCAAGCTTCCCACATCTCCGTGTGCCATGTTGGTCCCCCGCTTGCACGCTAGAGAACAATGCTGCTTTAGGTGGTTCTTCATGAGCTCAAGAAATTTGTCATGTGACTGAGCAGCATTACCGTCAGAGGGGCGTCGATAGAGAGGGAAAGTGACGCAGGTTGCTGGTAGAAGGACTCGCTCCGAAGATCCGGCGGTTCTCTCTCTCTCTCTCTCTCTCTCTCTCTCTCTCTCTCTCTCTCTCTCTCTCTCTCTCTCTCTCTCTCTCTCTCTCTCTCTCTCTCTCTCTGTGTGTGTGTGTGTGTGTGTGTGTGTGTGTGTATAATATATATGTATATATATATAGTGTGTGTGTGTGTGTGTGTGTGTATAATATATATGTATATATAGAAATCTCAATCTCACTGAGAGTTGGTCCCTTTTTCCATCCAACATTTCTTACTTTGTAAGTTTGTACTCTGATCAGTTTCCAGTTCATCGTCATCCTCTGTGCCTTCGCCGACTGTTCTTTCTCTGCGAAGTGAGCCCTCCGTGCTTTCACCGTTTTCTTCCTCTGCTATGATCCCCTGACATTTTCATTTGAGCATCAGCTTCTAAGCCCAGGTTATTGTAGAGGTTGGGTGGTATACTGTCGAAACCCGCCAAGCGAGTACTGTGCATGCACGTTTTTGCTAATCTTCATTGGTGGGAAGCATCCAGCATGTGCAGGCAAGGGGCGTATGCGCATCCTTTTCAGAGCACAGAAAATCCAAACATGCCACACGGCCATCACGATTGAAAACCTCCGTAGGGAAGACTCATTCTGCTAAACCTGCAGCCAGGTGAATGTTGGTCGAGAGGCGGTTAATGGAAGGCCCAAAATTCAGCGAATTTTGGTGAATTTTTGACCGAAACTGTCATATTTCCCTGAATTTTTACTCTTTTCTCAGTTTTTGTTTTTGCCTGTGATATATGTGCTTTAAGGTATATCTGTATTCAGTTTCAGCGTATTTGGACAAGTAAGAAAAAACGTAGCAAAAACAGCAGACTAGAAAAAATCTTTGGCAAACTCCGAAAGCTACTCCGAATAGGGATTTATAGTGCTCTCGAGTTTGATTTTTTCGTTTACTTTTTGCCTGATTGTTTTTTTGATGTTTGTATTATGACCCTGCATAGTTTGTTCGCAAAAGTTTCGATAACATTGCTTGTAGCGACGCGGCGAAAAACCCCGAGGTTTTGGCCTTCCATTAACCGCTAGTGGAGGGGCTGAGGCTGCCATCACATACCATATGGTTCTTCCAAAACGACCAATGGTGAACCCCGCCTTCCAACCCCTTGTCCTTGTCGTGACAGTTTTGAAAATATCTTTCATCGGGGGGTTGGCACCCTGTGTTCGTGACATCTGTACCCCAAGGACGTCGAAAAAGTGCTTCGTGAGTACGCA